TTTCCTCTTTTCGTGCCTTTAAACCCAAAATAATTCATTTCGTGTCCTTTAAAATCATTCATTTAAAAAAAACGTTTATCCCAGTTTATTTTGGTCCATAATCTGGGTTTAATTATTGAATAGTTGGATGGGTCTTGAAAAGAGATTTCCAACGATATATTATAAGCCAAAATCCGAGTTATAACGAATAAGTTATGGCCAAAATATTAAACTGAGCCCAAACCGAACCTAAGTCCACCTTACCTACGACCCAATGATCATGTGGAGGGTCCAAATGATATAATCCAATTCCTAAACAATTAGGATTAATTAGAAACTTCTATAAGTTTCTAGAAGATCCTAATTATCATTTTTGAAAAGATAAGATTAAATAGTTTGAAATTGAATAAAACTTTTCTTTTTGAAAATCCTATTTCTATCCGAATTGAAAGACGTTCAAAGATAGACAGATATTATTTTCGTGCCACATATTTTTTATCCAAATTTTATATGGTTGGATAGACCTTGAAATTATATTTCCAATGATATATTATAATATCTTTTCCGAGCTATAACGGAAAAGATATGAATAAAATGTCAAACTATATCCAAAACGGACACCGTCTCACTATTTCGGCTATATCATTTGTTATACAAAATATTTTAATCTGATTTTAATTGGGTTAGAAAGTAGACTTCAAGATCTTTCCAACGATATCTTATTCATCTTATTCCGATATCTGGATCAAAAGATACGATAAAAACAAAAACCGTAAAAACTGCTGTCTATCGCAAGAGTTTTATCCGATTCGAATTCTTATCTTTTCTTGTTTCTTCGACCCTCTTTTTTCTCTATAAATAGAGGTCATATCTCCCCTTTTTTCCAATAATCAACAAGCTTGATCACAAAATAATTCTCTTCTCCCTCTTTAGCCTAAACACTAGCCTCCCCATTCTTTCACTATTTCTTCCTTTAAGCACTCCACGGAGTCCATACAATACCTGAAGTTCTATACTTTAACCAAGGCGTGATAGGTAGAATTAACTGAGGGTTTGGACCAAATCAACTCTACTTTTAATTTAATTTAATTTCCATTTACTTTATATTTGTATTGAAATTACTAACAGTTTATTCATGATGTAGCAATTTAAAGGAACGCGCGGAATGTGAGTAATTATTAATTAATTTAATTACTCTTATTTTATTTTCTTATTGCTAGTATCATGATTAGGTTATTTTATATTTTATTTGACTAATGCTATTATGGTTAAATTGCTTCCAATGTTAATGTTTATTTTATTATATTTATTGATCACCATATTGCATGTTCAAAGGGAATATGTAATTGAAAATCACGCCTAATAAGATAATTTGGACAACCGGTTTAGGATCCTTTTAATCTTGTTATTTAATCAAGTGATCACAATATTATAGAATAATGTGTTGCATTAACATTAAACCAATTTAGCTTAATAATAGTTTGGAGCAAGTTGAATATTTTGTTTGTATGCCTTTGAGATCGCAGGAATCACTTTTCACTATAAGAATCGAGTAGAGACCAATACGGGCGAATGTGACTCCATGACTCACTTCGTACCATCATCCCCGATCCTCCTTTCGTGGTTCCGAACCATATGGAGTTAGTAATCTCATGGATTATGAATGGGGTGTAACCTTCACGGGTCAATCGTTGTTGCCTATCGTTGTCCCTTATTCGTGGCTGCCTTTTATGATCCGTGAACGGTTTACAAGTTCCTTAAAAACTTGTTGGCGGCTCCCTACTTTTCTTTGTCCTGATCGTATTATGTCAATTCCCACTTCCTATGAGTGCCAAGCATATTCACCACATGCTTAACGTAGGCGCACTTCGAGCGACGCCTACAGTTAGTAATGTCTTTTGGATTAAAAACTGCTCCACAAATATTTCAAAGAAAATGGATAATATTTTTAGAGAACTTAATCATTGTTGTTTGGTCTATATAGATGATATTCTAATATTCTCAAAAGATTTAGAATAACATAAGAATGATCTTAAAGCAATAACTCAAAAATGTGCAGAGCATGGTATAATCCTTGAAAAAGATAAATGTGTTTATGCTAAACAAGAAATTGAGTTTCTAGGATTTGAAATTAAATTAAGCAGGACAAATAATACTGCAAAAACGTATTCTAGAAAATATTGAAAAATTTCCAGAAAAAATTGAAGATAGAAAACAACTAGAAAGGTTTCTATGATGTTTAACCTATACTTCTGATTTCATAGAAAATCTTGCTTTATTAAGAAAGCCATTACAACAAAAACTCAAGAAAGAAATAACTTGGAACTGGAAGGAAAGTGATTCCAAAATTGTTCAAAATTTAAAAGCTATGTGTAAAGATCTTCCTGTACTAACACTACTTACTAGTGAAGATGATTTAATCCTTGAAACAGATGCTTGTAATGAGCACTGGAGTGCTGTGTTAAAAATCAAAGAAGGAGAAAAACTTTGCAGATATAGCAGTGGAAGTTTTAATAAAGCCGAGTTAAACTATCCTGCAATGCAAAAGGAAATCCTTGTAGTTATTAGAGGGATCGAGAGAAGTTCTTAATCTTCTTAGCCCCTAAACAGTTCTTAATAAGAACAGATTGCAAAGGCATACTCGGTTTTGTTTAAAAGAATTTTTCTAATACGCAAGCGCAAGGGAGACTCCTGCGTTGGCAATTATGGCTTAACCAATTCTCTTTTATCGTTGAACATATACAAGGAGCAAAGAATTCTTTGGCAGACAGCTTGACCAGAGAATTAACTAATGTCGTTCAAGAAGCTCAAGACTACACAAAAACCTCCTGCATACCAACTTCAAAAGATGGATGTAGAGAGGAAAACTCTCATTGATGAGACCAAAAAGGAAATGGAGCGGGTATCACCCTCCAGTTGGTCCTTAATGCAAGGCTTGATCATATCAGCAAAGCAACGTTCACGAGATGGTTTAATTAAGGGTTGCCATCGGGAAGTCCAAAGGTTATTAATGTTCGAAGTAACAATTATGTTATTTCAGCTCATTCATTATTTACGAAATATGATATTAAACAAAATAAAAGATAATGATTTTAGAACATGGTACGAGTTGGTGGCCTCCAGTAAATTCTTTGGTCTTCGAGATCTATGGGGAGAAAGAATAGAGTTTCCCAAAAACTCTAAAGTTGCATCATTGCGAATCTACCCATATCCTCTTAATCAAAATGCTCCATCCATTAGTATACATTACAAGGCTTGGGATTATGGAATGGTACATGATTTCTATGAATTCCCTACTCCTAATGACTCTTTCTTTCCAAGACTTATAAAGTTCCAACAGTACACATTCAACAAGATTCGGAAATATTGTGATGACAAAAAAGAAGACTTTCAGCTAGAAGCAAGGGTGCAATGTGCTAATATATATCGAAGTTAAAGAAGGAAAAGTTAGTCCACCGCATTACTTGATAATGTTTGGAAAGTGAGGTGTTGCAAAGATCCCATACTAATTCGTCAAAAGATTGTTAGAAATCCAACTGAAGCTAGAGCGCTGTGATTTTCCTACATTTCACAATATCTTAACGATTTTATAAAAAGGAAAGAAAATCCTCCTTTAATTTCATATTTTATGTTGGTAACACAACAATTGTGGCGCCTAACGAGATGAAAGAATATTTAGTAGATGGCATAAACAACACCGAGTCAATCTACAAATATTTAGAAGATATTGAAAGTGGGAAGTTTCTGTCATTTGAAGGCCATGAGTATCTGTTTGAAGCATTCATGAGTTGGGATGAAGAATACACAGCCAAATATGTTGTAGACTTTGGCATAGAAGAAGAGAATCCTATGTATGAAGACAACAAAGATAGTGAGGGGAGCCTACAAGAAATGATGATGGATGAAATTATGAATGCTTGAGCCCACACCAGCAATAATTCAAGGAATCTTCACTGTAGCCACGTTTTATTGCTACCTCCGTTTCATATTAGTTGCAACTTTGGAATATTTTATATCTCACAAATAATACCCCAAAGTTGCATCTAATAAGAAACGGAGGTAGTAATTGTTTTTCTCTTAAAGTATCTTTGTAAAAAGCAATGGTGTAGAATTGCTTGCTGAGTCGGAATAAGAATCCTATGTAGCTTTGCTTCCCTATATAAGGGGACTTAGCCCAAGAAGTGAAGGCAGAGTTGGAAGAGTTAGCTAAAAAATTAGTCAGAAAAATTTAGAGAGTCCTATAGAGAAAAATACTCACCTTAAGCGAAAGATTGGTTCTCCATCTCTCTTAAAGTAGAGAAAACTCTAGTTCAGCTTATGTCTGTTTAAACTTTCAGTTTGTGTGTGTGTTGTAATATATGAGTGTTGTAATCTTTTCAAATTAAATAAAAGTTTTGTTCAAGAAGGGAACTGTATCCTCTTGAACCTTATATATCAAATGAGTTATCTTTCTATTTAAAAAGTTCCATCATAAACACAGTAAGGATTGTTTAGTTAGAGATTACGATCTAAGGTAGGAAACGAATTAGATCTGTGCTGAGCCTGATCTAAGGAAGACAGGGTTGGGGTTAGCTACGTTGGTAAAGCCGGAAGCTCAGAACGCCATAGGTTCCATTGTCAACTAAGTTCAGACATTTGTCAAAACTCTCTAGTTAAAGAATTATTATTGCGGAGCATGGTGGGCTGTTAAACTGTTAAAATAATTTATTTTGATGTATAAGTAGTAGAGTTGTGATAACTAGTACTGTTAAAAGTCATTAATCAAGAAACAAGCGAACAAAAATTGATATTAATAGATAAATAGCTTCGTTGGTATTAAAAAGGTGTTCGATAGTATCAAAGAAAATACCATCTAAGAGTTCGTTGGTATCAAAGAAGAGTACTATCTAGGCTTAACTTGGTTGTTGGTATATTATCGACATTAAAATCAGTAGCAAACTACTAATGACAAAAGTGTCAATTATAATACAAGTGGACCCATTTGGTAGAGACCAAAAAAGTACGTAGAGATCAAGAAAAAGCTCCATTTTCAGGCCAATTCCACCATCAATCACAAATGGTTACTTCCTTCTAGAATCACTTTCAGACACGTTAGAAATTTGCTACCATTACATATTTACATTGCATCACTCTCCAAAAAAGTCACCGCTTTCAGATCCAATCGAATTTTCTACCGATTCAATCACCCCAAAATTCCCACTAATTTGCTCTCTTTCTCTCAATCAATCCCCCTATTTTTCTTCCTCAATTGATCCCCAATTTCACTAATTCTGCAGCTCACTGAAATTGATCACAAACCCTAATTCCCAGAAATTGAATTTCAATTTGATCAACAATGTCGGCTTCGCCATTAAAGGCTGTAACTTTGACCCATGTTCGATACCCTAGGGGAGATAAAATTGGGCATTTTCTTGCTTGGATTTCTCTGGTGCCAGTTTTCATCAGTCTTGGAGGTTTCGTAGCTCATTTTTTCTTCCGCCGTGAATTGCAGGGTATGTGTTTTGCTGTTGGTTTGATTATTTCTCAATTTATCAGTGAATCTATCAAATCATGTGTGCAACAATCGCGCCCTGAAACCTGTGCATTGCTTGAAGTATGTGAATCCCATGGTTGGCCTTCAAGCCATTCGCAATACATGTTCTTTTTCGCTACGTATTTTACGCTGTTGAGTTATCGAAAAGCCGGTTTTTTTGGTGGGAATGAGAATAAGTGGATTGTGGAAGTGATTGCTTGGTTTATGGCAGTGTTAACTATGTTTTCAAGGGTTTATTTGGGGTATCATACCATTGCACAGGTTAGCGCCGGTGCAATTTTGGGGACGGTTCTTGCGTGGTCATGGTATTGGGTTGTTAATAATGTTTTACTCCATTATTTTCCATTGATTGAGGAGAGTTACATTGGGACGACGTTTTATATCAAGGATACTTCACATATATGCAATGTGTTGAAGTTTGAGTATGATAATGCAAGAGCCGCGAGGAAAAATATGACTGACAAAAGCAGCTGATTTTTCTGCTCCACAAAAACCCCGGGAGGAAAGGGTGAGTTGCTGTTCTTTCTATGCTTTTGTTGAGTTGATTATGCTTTGAAATGATTCTTAACTATGCATCTTGTTCTATATCACTATGATATGGGTTGAAGAATTTTTTATGGTGTTATTGCATTCATCTTATTCAATAAGTGCTATTTTTTGTAATGTTGCGCGAATATAGAATCTTCCAAACTCTATGGCTGGGGTAGTTGAAGATTAAGGATTAAAGTAAAGATAGTTTTCTCTATCTCAGGCGAATCAAATTAATCTAGTTGGTTTTTATACCAAAAATTCAGCAATTATAATCTAAAAACCAAATCAGCATCTCTGTTTGGAGTAATAGCAGTGCTAGGAATCAGGTTATTTTTTCAGAAAAAATGTAAAGCATGCAGATCAATTGTGTAATTGAGCTGAAATTTAAGAAGAGATTTAGAAAATAAGAGTTTTAAGGAAAGCTTGATATAAGTTTGTACTTCCTTCATATCATTTTATATTGTTTACTTCTCATTTTTCATGAGAATTAATGAGAATGGAGGGAGTCGTAATGTTCCCAAATTGCATTAAATGAAGCACTTTATTGGTACAAATTGCTTTCACCGAAAAAATAAGGCAGCAGTATATGCATGGTTTGAATATGATTTTGGTTGCAATCGCAGTTGCAATGAACTAATGATCACGATTTCTCGGCAATGAAAATGTTGCATTGATCGCAAATCATGTCGTGATTGTTGTGACGTGAAATATGTGAATTTGATTTCAAAGCCTTTTGGAATTTTATAATAGTTGTAAGCTATTAGAATAGTTAGACAAACCAATATGAGGCTTGAAGCCTATATTATGAAACAAGTAACTTTTGAGTAAAATGGGACGTGAGGTGGGGTTGGAACATTTGATTCAGATAAGATTTGTTGTTTTTAAAAAAGCAATGCACAAAATCGGACGATTTTGGTAAGAAAAATCCTTAACAATTTGGCCCAACCAAAACAATGTGGTTGTATTTTTACACCATGGTAGTTGGTTAAATACACATGTTTTAAGGAAGGATGTGCTTATTGTTTCAGCTAATAAAAATGAAGTAAACACAATTAATTTTTTAAAATTTTGGGTTACTAATGAGATTAATTTTTCGATAAAATAAAAAAAAATTGTGAAAACTTTATAGCTAACCCAACTTTGCTCAACTTAATAATCCCAATTTTCTAATTTAAACCTAGAAAAAAAGAGTAGTTGGTCAACTTCTCTAATACTTTTTTCTTGATTTCATTTCTCCATCAATTAAATTAGATTTTTCCTCCCAATAACCCAAAATGTGTCAATATCACACTCAATTAAAACTTCAATACCTCAATAAATGGCAACAAGAGATCAAAAACACCTTTTTGAAAGCACAGAGTTGCACGCTTTTAGATGCCGGAATTGTCATTAATGGACAATGGAATTGGTTGCGGAAGTGGTGGTTTGGTTATTGAATCTTCTTAACTCCTTAACGGTGTGAGTGAAAAGGGAAAGAAAAGAAAGAGAGGGAGAGGAAGGAGTGGGAAGGGAATGAGAGAGGAGGGTAGAATGATGAATTTCCAAATATCTCTATTGTTAGAGAGATCAATTTCTTTCGATATAATCCCTCCATTTCTCTCCCCTCCTATCCCCTTCCATCATAATTTATTATCCAAATAAAATATATTACATCTCTCCATTTCCCTTTCCTTACTTCCTTTCCATTTCCTTCAATCCAAACAATGTGTAATTCTAACATGTCTTTATCCTCTTACACTGCTCTCAACATTAATAATCCGCTAATATCAAAATCCTCTAATTTCAACTTGCTTCCTTTGATTTTGTTGATGAGAGAGAACTTGAAGGATGAGGAGAGAATTGAATTATTTAGTGAGGATTTAAAGATTTGAGAAAATTCTTGAGGGTTGGTGCTTATTGGTCTTGATCAATCAAAAATCACAAAGCTTTTTATTATTTTTTTTAATTTTTTTATTAATTTAATTTTATTTATTTATTTATTTATTTTCATGAAATTGAAGAGAGATAGCACATTTTTTTTATGGTCCTTGAGAAAATTGAAGAACAAGGGAGATACATTGAGAGAGGGAGAGATAACGCTTAATATGTGGAGAGAGAGACTGAGAGTGATACCGGTCAGATAAAGTAACAGGTGAGATTTCAATCAAATATTTCGAAAGAATCAATGCACTTATGATATTTATTTCAATAAAATATCATTGGGGCAGCATATTGTAGACAAGTGGGGTATTTTGGATAGTTTATATAAATATACTGGGTAGTTTTGTCCAAAAATTGTGATAATTAGGAAACAAATTAAAGATCCGAACCAGCATAATTTTGCAACAGCCAAAGAAGAATACAAGCACTTTCTTATGGCACTAATCAGTGTAAGCACTCCAAGTACAAACTACCCGCATACTCCTATTTTTGTTTTTCACTACAAATTACCACGAGTGTCAATACAAGCATGCTCTCTTTTTTGATACTTCATTTCACTATAATTGCAACACTTTGACTTCTACATTTTTACATTGATTGACTTTTATGATTATTTAAGGAAAAATATTATCATATGTGATTTATTTTATTTTATTTTTTATTTTTTACTTTATGCTTTCATAATATCAATTTGTTATAATTTTTACATATTGATAACATTTCTCTTTTATTTAAAGTTTTGACGAAAATTGGCCTCTTGGATCAACGTATTTAAGTATTTAACCACACCTTTTTGACCTATTTTCTTATTATTAGGCTAAAATTTATCACCCAACTAATGCTTTGTAAATTAGTTCTATCACACTTTTCAATTTATGGTTGAAGTACTAGTGAGGAAAAGGGACCATTGGATGAATTGTTAAATCATCTTTTAAATTTTCTATCAACAAATTAAGGGATTTTGGGATCATCAAAGAGTAGCTTCATAGTATACTATCAGGTATAATTGTTAATGTGATTTTATACAATTGAATGCTATGCCATAGTAGTTAATACTAGATGATTTTTAGGACATTTTAGAATATATAACACCACAAAAAAACCCAAAATTTGATTATAACACCAAAAAAAAAGACTGTTTCACCACCACTTAACTTTGCCATCTAAAAAACCGTAAGTTGGTCCCACACTGTACATGTGTTAATCATTTATTGAATTTAAAAAAAGTAAAATTAAAAAGAAGAAAATAATTTTTTTTTTAAAAAAAATGAAAAACCTTAAAATGCTAACCCAGCCACCTTCCCACTGGTTTCCATCGCTGTCACCCATACCCAGCCCTCGAACTGCCAAATTGTTGACGAACCTCTGAAAACGTTGTCAACCTACCTTAACCCCAACCTAAACCAGCCCACACCATTGCCAAACCGCCGTATCCCCAACCTAAACGTGCTGAAATAGCAACATCACCCCCCCCCCCACCGTCGCCAAACTCCTCTCCTTTCCCCTACCCAAATTTGTCGTCAAACCGCCGAAATCCCAACCCACACCCATACCCATACCCAAACCCACAAACTGTCTACTCCTCTCACCCTCACTGACCCAAACTCGTACCAAGAAACCAAATCGAGGCTGAGGTTGGGGTACGGTTTGGCTGAGAGGGTGGTAGGCTGGATTCATCTGGTCGGGGGTGGTTGGCTGGGATTAGGTGGGTTGGGGTGACGGCGGTGGGAACCGACACCGGTGGTAGCTGGGTTAAGATTTTAGGGTTTTCCTTTTTAAATATATATATATATATATATATATTCATTTTTTTCAACTCAATAAATAATTGACACTTGTAAAATGTGGGACCCACTAACGGTTTTTTGGATGGCAAAGTTAAGTGGTGGTGAAATCAATTTTTTGGGTTTTGGCGGTGTTAATGTGCTATAATAAAAGTTTTAAAATTTGTGGTGTTATAATCAAATTTGTGTAATTTTTGTTGTGTTATTTTCTAAAATATCCTGATTTTTATAGCAAAGGGAATAAGATAAAGCCACGGATGAATTGATACAAATCAAATAAATAAAAATTAAAAAAAGAATGAATCAATTTTTTGTATTCTAATTCTCATCATGATTCATGAACAAGTGCAAACATCTTGTCAAAACCAATGTTAGCCACTTAACAGAAAATGACAAATGATAAAAACACTTGTTTTAGGCCCATTTTTTTGCCTTTACTGGTCACCGAAACCGTGTTTATTTTCTAGTATGTCGCCAGATATCTATTTTTATTACTAATTGTCGCCTGAGAGATTCTCTTTGCTAAGTTGCAACTTACCCTCTATTGTTTTTTCCCCAATTTGGTCAGTTTTTCCTGGTCATGTCTTGCTTTGCTCCTTTCACCTTAACTTTAATGTTTTTAATCTCTGTTTGAAATTCTGCAAAGTTATCTCCATAACACTAATCAATCCGCTCAGTATCCTTGGAGACAAAGATTTTCTTCAATTTCAGCTCCGATTTTTGATGAATAAAATCAACTTAACCCTGTTAAAAACTTAAAATCTTTCAAGGTGAACAGTGGTGCTTGTTTATTTGCAGCCTTGCTGCCATAGGCTGTAGTGCAGGCATTGGATGTGGGGAGATTTGGAGTTTATTCCATGCCTTGCCTTTCTTATATAAATATTTTTATAACTTTTGTTGTGGTGGCTAGTTTTCGTAAACAAGTCTTCTCAATTCCATGCGATATTTTGATATGTATATATGACCATGCGTGTTTTGGTCATTTTGATATTCTTGAGGTTTAAAACCCCTGTTCCATCTTCCTCTGCCCAGCTCTTTTAGGTCTAAGCAAATAGAGAATAGAGGGAGTGGTGCATGCGTTCGTAGGGAGGGGCATAGGAATGGATGAAGTGGGAAGGTGCTGAAAGTACTATTATGAGACGGTGGAGTGAATGAAGACATTATTCATGCAGAAGGAATAGGAAAGGGAAAAACGCTGGCTGACAGAGAGGAGAGGATACATGTGTGTGAATGGTTTTACTGAATATGTATTAACCTGCCAAAGTCATTAAAGCTGAATTTTTTATTTTATTTTTACTTTTTCTTGTTTCATCTGCTAGCATGTGACTGATTTTGCGTTTTTCTGAAATGTGCTGCAAGAATATTTATATCTGATATTCTAAGCGTGTTTACATCAGTTCTGTTATGGTATATAGAAAAAACAAAAAATAATTTAGGAATTGACATGTTATCAACTGTAGATCAAATGTGAAATAATATTACATACAGAAGCATTATTTTGGAACCAAGATGGGTGAAGATTTCCTAAATTTCTTGTAGTTGTCATTGAGAATTCAGATAGTAATGTGAATCTAGACTCTGTGAATTTGGATATTAGATGATGAATGGATAAGTTCACCCACATTGCATATTCAGAAGGATGTCCCTTTTATATGCAATGAAGTTCAAAACTTTCATGATTGTTTCAATGAGGAATGGACTAATGTGGCTGACCTATTCTTTTCAGTGTAAAGTTTATAACAGTTCCGTTTTCAGAGGTGTAGATGAGTATTGGTTGTGCGTAATATTGGTGTTGATAGTTTCTTTTCTCTTGCAACAGTCTTGTGAGAGTATGTGACAGCCCTTTTTTTTATGCCGTCATATGTGATAACAGTGTTTATGCCTTCAGTCATATGTAGAGATCATATTGTTTAAAGAACAAAACAATACTATATACTTGGTACTCCCTCCGTTTTTAAATACTTGCTCCATTTCTCTTGGACACGCATGCCGATGCTAATCTTTGATCACTAATATCTTTAATTATCAATAAGTATAAATTCTAACAATTGAAAATTAATAATCTATTCATTGAGATGATTCCAACAAGTACCCACAAGACTATATTTTTTCTTATGTATAAATCACAAACATTAGTCAAAGTAGGACAAATGAATAGTGTAAAAAATAGAAATGGAACATGTATTAAAACGGAGGGAGTATTAAATAACTGCATTTTGCCGTCTGTACCAGGTAATTTGTTTGGTTAAATGGTTTTAGGACACCCACATTATGGAAGGTTGCATTATGCTTAATTTGGCAATGTGAAGCTGGAAACTGGCTGGAGTTTTGCGTGTACGGCGATGGTGAGGGGCTATAAACACCATCATACTACTGGATAATATATTTATTTTCTGTTTTTGTTTTTGTGTAGTGGAAGTTATAAATACACTATAGGATATTCAATATGGCAGCTAACCAAGGCAAGATCATACTCAATGATTTCCTAAGAGTTTAACCCATAACACTTACAATGAAAGTAAGGCAAGCTAACCAAAGTAAAAACAAACAATAGAACTCAAATAGGACTTTTAAATGAAACCAATGCTTTTCCTAAAAAAAAAAAAAAAAAAAACCAATGCTAGTAAAGTTATAAATGCTCAAGGATATCCAAGGATAGGTCAAAAAGTAAACCATGCTAAGCATAGAGAACTAAGAAGGCCATATCACTTTTCCCCCCAAACGGAATTTACTGCATTCTAGCTTCAAATCCATCGTTTCAAGTTGGCATCTCATGGAAAATGAGAGATATAAGGTTAGCTCAATGTTTTGGCATGACACATTGGCTTAATAGGCTTGAGTTTATCTCCTCTACAGACTTTGAACCTTGACCCCTAAGGTCAAAAAGTCTTTTTAGGTTGCAATGTTTCGGTTATGGGTCAAGGGTGTGGAAAAATATGGGAATTTGTAGCCCTACTAGTATAGTAACCGGGCGTTGCACGATAGTGATAAGTAATTTTTCCATATTTCTTTTATATATTTTGTTGTTGATAAAATAACTTGGCTTACTTTTTAAAAAATAATAATAAAAAAGGGTATATAAATATTAAATAAAAAACATGTACATAGTCCTTTTTTAAATATGTTTATTATTTATTGTTGCATTATAATATTTACTACAATGTTATATAAAATGTTATAAAATGATGGTTAGACAAAATACATCTAATGTTTCATATATGTTTAGAGTGAAAGCTTAAAAAATGTATATAATTAGCTATCAATATCTAATATTGTTGTATATTGAAAAGTTCAAAAGTAGTAATGAGTATACAACAATATTGATGTCAAAGCCAACTTTCGTATTTTTAGTTTTAAACCTACTTAATCCTAAAATCTAGCAAGTAAATAAAAAAGGGAAAAAAATTAAAAAAAATAAATAAATGGATGATATCATAAGTAAATTTGGAGGGAAATTTTTTAATGAGAGCTTGACACGTAAGACAGTTTAAGGAATTAATGATATTAGCACGTTTTGTTTTAATAATAGTTTATAGATTTGTGAAGCAAATGAGTGATTATTAATCCATGAACTAAAAAACACTTAAGTATAATATACCACATTGGACACATTGTTAAGGAAAACTAAAAGTTTGTTTGGTATTATTTTTAGTTTTCAGTTTTTTGAAAACCAAAAACTAAACACAGGAAACAAGAATAGATGTTTTCACTTTTCTGTTGTCAGTTTTTAAAATAATCATAATCTCAATAAGTTTGACTAGTTTTTTATTCATTATATGACATATATCATATGATTTAAAAAAAAATTAACCAAAAAACAGAAAATCACAATAATGCCAAACGAACCATAAATATACCGTTTTCTTCTTTAAACAATACAAAACCATTGAGGCATAATTTATTGAACAGCTTACAAAATACATTATTTAAACATGATAATAGCTTGAAATTACAAAATGGAAAATTCAGAATAAAAAAAGTTCCAAAGGCCCATTTAGATGTTAAATAAAGCAAACATTCATAAAAAGAAAATAATTTTTTTTATAAAAAAAAAAAGAATAGAAAGAGGAAGGAAGATCACTTAAATGACATACATATACACATATACTTCTTCGTTCAAATTTAAGTATCAACGTGACTATTAATACAGGATATAAGATGTATAATTTTATGCCAATGCCAGTCTCAAAATCAAGGCTCGGAAGTAGTTTCACGAAGGATCACTCGATTAAAGCTTGCACCAAGCAAGGCCAGGTTGTCGCCTAGAAGCATAATTTCAGCAGATGCAAAAGCACCAGTCATGTGGTCCAAGTAGCTAAAAAAAAAAACATATATAAAACAGAATTACATAAAAAGTAAAGTTTTGAAACAAAATTTGGCAAAATATTTGTGCCGTACTTTTTTAATTGGAAATTTTGACATTTGCTACTAGGAAAAACGCCTCGATTCACATTTGTTACCGTTTTAAATATTTTTTTATTTTTTTTATTTTGCTACCACTGAAATCAGAGTTTGTTGGAAATTACTACCCATGTCTTACTTAACAATTTCCGTCAGAGGGGCCAAACCACCGTCCAGCCACCCCCACTGCACCCCCTCTCCCTTTTCCCCCACCCCTCCCTCTCTCCCTTTCCCCCACCCACGAAGCTAACCCCCCTCCTTTTCCCCCACCACGAAGCCAACCCCCACCTCCCTTTCCCCCACCCATCGAAGCCAACCCCCATCGAATTCAGCCCCCCTCCACCGGAATCGACCCCTCCCCTTCTCCTCCCCTTTTCGGCCACCCCTAAACCACCACCCCAAAACCACCATGAGTGAAACCCTAAAACCTGTTGAGGGTGGTTTTGGGCTGGTGGTTTAGGGTTAGGGGTGTCGGTTTTTGGGTAGGGGAAGGGGAGGGGGGTCGTTTCCGATGGGGGTAACGGGGAGGGGGGCTGATTTCGGTGGGTGGTGGGGTTGGCTTTGTGGTTGGGGGAAAGGGAGGGGGGTTGGCTTCGTGGGTGGGAAAAAGGGGGGGTGGGGGTAAGGTCGCCGACCGCCGTCAGGGGGGAGGGGGAGGGGTGGCAGTAGGGTGGTTGGTTTTTATTATTATTATTATTTTTTTAATAAACTTAACGAAAATCCTAATTTAGGTGGTAGCAAAGTAAAAAAAAAATTAAAACGATAGCAAATGTGAATCGAGGTGTTTTTCCTGGTAGCAAATGTCAAAAAAAAAAATTTCATTTAAATATTTTGACATTTGATACTCTTTATAAGCTCTACTTAAACAAAATGTAATGTGTGAAATTGTTAGAATCATTCCTAATGAAATCTTACAATATATATCGTAACATCATCTTTTTATAATTTTTATCTATTCCATCCGTTTTTTAAGTGTTGCACTATGACCGACACATAATTTTAACTTAATTAATTGATCATAATATAAAAATTTGTAAGTGGGGAAGATAATGTATTAAAAATTGTAAGAATAGATTTGAGGAAAAATAATAGTATCAGGTTTGATTAGGGACCAGGGAAGGAAAGTAATAGTATAATATTAAAATGGGGAAGTTTGTCAAGAAAAAAAAGTGTAACACTAAATAAAAAAAAGTTGTATTTGGTTAGTGTAACAGTTGAAAAAACGGAGGAAATATTGATGATTTGAGAGTAATTAGTCGCAAAACTTATATCTTAACAAACTTAATAGAAGATATGTGTCAAGTAAAAAAAAATGGTTAAAGGATACTTTGTGTTCATCAGAACTCTCAGACTTGAACCAAGCTAAGAGATATCCAAGTTGAAGAAGATCGTTATCAAAGGTGCCATATATCACTGCAGCCTTACAACATATGATCACGGGGCCGGGTCCGCCTCCGCCGGGTATTGGAACATGAGGAAAACCCTGAGCCTTATGCATAAATGCACCAGTATCATTACTCCCACCAACATTCGTAGAATCGTAGGTGGCTTCACTTCAAAAACTCCAGAGCCATCAAGAATTTTATGAAGCATAATTGGTCGACTTTGTGATTTTTTCATAGCACCTGCAACAGTAGCAAGTGGAATATCGATTGCGCCTTGGTTGTTGGTTTCTAACAAGGTCTGCGCCACCTTCATCACCTCATTGATTGTTGCTTTCTCTTCATCGGTTAATTGAGTTACATCATGGTCTACTGGTTCTGTTGAAGACATTGTTTCCTAGTTTATTGATACCTTCACAAGAGAAAATAGTATTAGAAGACCAACTCTATCAGATAAATCTTAAACTGATGGTTGAATTCCAAAATTAATTTATATATTTAATCAATATTATATAAAGCAACCTGATGTAATATTATGAATCAAATATGATCAATTTGTCATCACAAACAGTTCTTTTCTAGATGACCACAACACATTAAAAAATAATGAGGTATTATTTAAGAGGTAGGAGAAGTAGAATATTAGACTTTGTTCTATTTATATTGGAAAGTTTGTCTAGAAAGGACATATATGTTCACTATTTTGTCTGGAAGGATCTTATATGTTTAAAGTAGTCTAAAGAACCTTATTAGTTTATAAGTTTATATTATTGTTTGGGGGATCTTGAGATTGGAATTCGGCAATTAGAAATAATAATCCCAACTTTCATCAATTTTGGAAGAATAATCCCAACTTTGGATTATACTTGATTATATTGATAATCCCAACTTTCTAAAAACTAAAAAAAAAAAAAAAAAAAAAAAAAAAAAAACCTAATAAAAAATCTAAAAAAAAAAAAAATCAGAAAACCAACACCATTACCCACCCCAGCCATGACCATCCCCTCCTACAACGGAAACCCACAACTCCGGCTGCCGCTATTCAACCCCATTGCCCACAGAAACCCCAGTCGTCTTTCCCCCATGAATCACCACCCTCAAATTTCCCTTGAAACCTAATCTCCACCAGCGCAACCACTCCCAAAACCCACAAAAACTCCTTATTGTCGAAAAATCCTAGCCGCTTAGGGTTTCGGGGTGGTGGGATGAACGCTTTGGGGTTTTTGGTAGTGGGGAGGGGTTTCATCGGTGGTTTCGTGGGGAATGCTTAGAGTTTCGGGGAGGGAGGAAGAAGAACGTTGCAGAGGAGTTTCGCGCGGCTCGCCGCTTGAGAAAGGGACGGTGGGGGTTTCATTGGTGGATTCGGGGTGGTGGTATCGTGGGGAATGGGGGAGATGTCGACGCGGCGGAGATTGTTTCACCTATGTAACCGGAGGGGCGGCAGGTTGGGCAGTGGGTGGTGGTTATGGTGGGTCGGTTGGGGAAGGGGGAGGTTGACTAGTGGTTGGTATTTTTTGGCTTATTTATTTTTTTGTTTATTTGTTTTTATTTAATTTTTTTTTAAGAAGGAGCAATTTGACTAGTGGTGGTTAGAAGAGAAAGGAGTAATTGGAGAAAAATCGTGGAAAAAAAAGAACACGGGGGTAATTTTTTAAGGTTACGTGAGAGGTCAACGTCGGAGAAAAAAGTCAATTGTTGCCGGATATCGACCTTAAGGTCTCTCTAAACAACAAAATAGTCTTATAAGGTTCTTTTAGACCATTTTAAACATATAAGGTATTTCCAGAAAAATTAGTGAACATATATGTCCCTTCCAGATAAATTTTCCATTCATATTTTACGTATAGAAAATAACGCATATTTTACGTATGATTAGAATAATATTTAGCAATAATTAGATAAACACAATTGTAATTAAATTAATTAACATCAAGTTTTTGGCAAGTCTTGTGTATGGCTAGCCACATGGAGTGACCATATTCGTTTATAAAAATAATTATTATTCATTTGTTAGGTAACCTTGTTTATTCATATGAATAACCCCATAAGTTCATAAAAGCAACATATATATAATTTAGGAGCGACATCAAATAATAATAAATAAAATATTTAGTAACTCCATGTTTCTTCGAGTAATCTCTTTTCTTTTATTTTGGCCAATGAAAAAATTAACGAGGCTTTTATCAAAAGGCGAATTTGTAATTAAATGAAAAAAAAGTACCGTTCATGGTAAAATCGCTAGCATCATTAGCGGTTCTGCAATCAATATTATAATGGTGTTAGTGGTTTTTACCATGAGTAGCGCAAACAAAAAAAATAAATTTTTTTATGGTAAAACCGCTAACACTATTAGCTGTTTTTCCTTGAATATTACAAATTTGTCACCGTGATAAATAACTCATGTTTATCAAGGTGATAAACTTGTATTATTACAAAACTAACATCACTTATTTATGAGATTGATCCCAATCTATACTTAGTATTTAAAAACACAAACCATAAATCTATACTAAGCTACATGTCACCATGCATAATCACTCACATGCCACATGTCACCTCCCTTAATCCTTTCTTTTTAAATTCCCATTTTAATATAAAAGCAAAATATATAAATAATGTTTGAGTCTTTAATCTTTATGCATTCTAAAACTTACAAATTTAAGTAAGAAAATTAAGTGTTCATATTCAATATAATAAATTAAAGTTAAACTAATTAGTGTTCATTACATTAACAATAAAATGGTCTTTTCATCTCCTAAACTTAAATATAACTTAAACCAATGTGTCATTTCATGCCCTATAGTATCTATATATATATATATATATATATATATATATATATATATATATATATATATATATACCTAACTAAATTTCACACAACAACGACATTTTTCAAGAAAAAATAACCTAAGTAACAACCCGTGCATTAAACGGGTCAAAAGGCTAGTTTTTCTTTGAAATATCTAACCCCGCATGCATTATGGTGAACCCTCTTGCTTATCACCATAAACTTTAAGATTCAGTTAAATATTTTAAATCTAAAGTGACAACACTGCACGACTATTCATACAAAAGAATTTATGCTTTAATTATATACATACAGAAATATAAATATTTGTTTTAACTAAAGTAGACTCTATAATGAATCTACGGCTATTTCACCAAATGCCACTGAGGACTTTGGAAATTCACCAAATGTCATCCAACTTTTCAAAATTCACCAAATGCCACTCACAAACAGTACAATGACATGACGTGCCATTAATGAAGTTTGGACGTTAACAGTTCGTTATTGCAAAACTTATTTCATGAAATGCCACTAAAGAGTTTATATATTTCACCAAATGTCATTACTTTATCAGGTTTTACACAAAACACCTCTGTTTTAATGAGTTGCAACGACTAGTTATTTTTGTAACATATTTTAATTTTTTTGGGGGAAAACTAGCCGTTGCAACCCTTTTTTTGTATAAATTCGTCCCTAAGAACACACAAAGGCAGTCCTTTGTTATCTAATCATGAGTTTGCTATCAAACACATCTTCCTCAATAAATGAGTGTGCATATGTTATAGTTCTAAACAAATTTTGCAAGTGTGGTAAGAAATACACAATTAGAAGCTCGGAGTCAACATGTAATCCACAAAGGTTGTATTATAAGTGTGTCTCATGTAATAGCTTCAAATGGTGTAAAGCTCAAATGCAAGAAGAAGGTCAAAGTAGGGGAAGCTCATTTGTAAGGGATGACTCAGCACAAAGCAACTTGTATGAAGAAGTGAAACAATTGAAGAAGAAAATCAAGCAACAACAAAAAGTTTTGAATTGTATAATGAAATTAGGGGCATTGATGTGTGTTGTAATTGTGATTGTAATGTTGAAATGAAATGGATTAATGTAATTTGCAATGAATTTTAATAAAGTGGGAAATTTAATTATGTCCATACTATAAAATAGCTTCCTGTTTATACAAAAAAAGCTTCCTGTTCAAAACATAGCTAACTGTTTGCATCAATTTCCCAAAAATATAACATGGACATGTCAAAATAAACAACACACCACACACTATAGTGATTATGTTCAAAAAATTACATTGAATGTCCAGGATGTGGGTGCATTAAGAAGGGGAGTTGTTGTCCATTCATGCTGCTGCTTTCTTTGATTTCTTCTTGGGATGAGAGGCGACCTTTGATGTGGTTGCTTCAGCTGTTGAGGTTTTTTTCCTAGATGCACAAGTCAACATGTTGTTCCCCAGTTCACCACATAAGCTGCACTTAACTGTAGAGTGCCTCTTCCCTTTTCTAGCTTCATTTGGCCCTCTTTTTCTTTTCTTTTTTGGTCTTCCTGCAGATCTTTTTACCATTGGTGGTAATATCTCAGGAAGGTTAACTGATGGCCAATGACTTGGGTCAGGCACTGGGTGCATATGCTCTGCATAAGTAAGCTTGTATGCCTTCCCTTTGAAGCAAGGAGCTACAAAGTCAGTAGGTTGTAGCCTTTGGTGATATATAACCCTTAGCACATGTTTGCAAGGGATCCCTGAATGCTGCCACTTCCCACAACCACAAGTGCCTCTGCTTAGCTTTATGGGAAAATGCACATGTTGGTCTCTAACCTCAAATTCATCACCACCATAAGGTGTTGCATAGCATAGCCTATACTCATCTGATCTTGCTTGCAGAATATTTGTGGCATACTCAGTTAGGTCCATATCCCCCATGCCCATAGCTTTGTCAAACCTTGAGCCAATCCTCTTCATTTCCCATTGCCTTATTGCTGCAATACAACATTGACACAACACTGTCAATACAAAGAATTCATTTGTGTTAAAGCAAATATTTCTGCGTTGTGTGGTTACCTTCAAGTAATCTCAGAACAGGGAGATCTCTGTAGGGTTGTGTGCATGAGTTGAATGATTCTACAAAATTTGTAGTGTTATGATCACAACACAATGCAGGATCAAACTTATGCCTAGACTGCAGCTCTCTAAGTATTCAACAGCCTTAGGATTGTACTCATGTATTTTCTTCATTGCTTTGTTGAATACATACTCATTATATGCATCTGCTGCAATCCAGAAAAGCTTATGGAAGGCTGAACCACTGAATCCTTTGGCCTTGCAGTTTGTGTACAAGTGCTGGCAACACACTCTTCTTGTTTCTCTAGGGAATGTTTCATGGATTGCCGTGTCAACACCTTACATGCAAAGCTATCAGTTAATACCTAAGAAAATATATCATCATTAAAAAAAAAAAAAAACTTCTGAAAGGTGGCTTACCTTCATCCTGTCAGAGATGAAAGTCCAATCATCTCTACTGCAGCCTTCCTTGTCAAATAGGATTTTCATGTTCCTTAGAAAATAACCCCAAATGTCAATGCTCTCAGTCCCAACCACTCCATAAGCTATGAGAAAAATCTCATTGTTCCCATCAATCCCAAGTGCAGTCAGCAAGATTCCCTTGAAATGTCCACTTAAGTGAGCTCCATCAATGCCAATTATGGGTCTGCAACCCCTCAAGAATCCCCTACATTGGGCAGCAAATGAAAAAAAACAAGCCTTGAATCTTGGTGGCTGATTTGCAGTTGATTCACCCCAACTGACCAGAGCATAGCTCCCTGGGTTAGTCTCTTTTACCATTTCAGCATACTTAGGCAGTAGTGAGTATGCCTCTCCAAACCCCCCATGAATCCTCTCCTTACACATTGCCTTCACCTTGTAAAAGAGCCTCTTTTTAACTTCAATCCTGTACCTTTCCATACAAAGTCTTTGTAAAGGCTCAACTGGGATGTCAGGATTTTCTTGAATGTTTGACTGCAGATGTCTACACAACCACTCAGAAGTTACAACTGGGTTAAGCTCCAGCCTTCCACAACTTCTATGCTCCCCTGTTGTAGGCGTCGCTCGAAGTGCGCCTACGTTGAAAGCATGTGGTGAATATGCTTGGCACTCTTAGGAAGTAGGAATCGACATAATACGATTAGGGACAAATAAAGTAGGGAGCCGCCAACAAGTTTTTAAGGAACTTGTAAACCGTTCAAGGATCATAAAAGGAAACCACGAATAAAGGGACAACGAAGGCAACAACGATTGACCCGTGAAGGTTACACCCCATTCATAATCCATGAGATTACTAACTCCATATAGTTCGGAACCACGAAAGGAGGATCGGGGATGATGGTACGAAGTGAGTCATGGAGTCTCATTCGCCCGTATTGGCCTCTACTCGATTCTTATAGTGAAAAGTGATTCCTGCGATCTCAAAGGCATACAAACAAAATATTTAATTTGCTCCAATCTATTATTAAGCTAAATTGGTTGAATATTAATGCAACATATAATTCTAAAATATTGTGATCACTTGATTAAACAACAAGATTAAAAAGGAACCTAAACCGGTTGTCCAAATTATCTTATTAGGCGTGATTTCCAATTACATATTCCCTTTAAACATGCAATATAGTGATCAATAAATAATAATAGAATAAACATTAATATTGGAAGCAATTTAACAATAATGGCGTTAGTCAAATTAAATATAAAATAACCTAATCATGATACTAGCAATAAGAAAATAAAATAAGAGTAATTAAATTAAATAATTACTCACATTTCGCGCGTTCCTTTAAATTGCTTTCATCATGAATAAATTGTTAGTAACTTCAATAAAAATATAAAGTAAATGGAAATTAAATTAAATTAAAAGTATAGTTGATTTGGTCCAAACCCTCAGTTAATTATACCTTTCATGCCTTGGTTTAAGTATAGAACTTCAGGTATTGTATAAACTCCTTGGAGTGCTCAAGGGAAGAATGGTGTAATTAGGAATATAGGTTTAAGGCTTAGAATATGAGAGAGAGAGAAGAATTTTGGTGTAAAAGAGAGGAAGAGAGAAGGATTTGATGATCAAGCTTGTTGATGATTGAAAAAGGGGTGATATGACCTCTATTTATAGCGGAAAAAGAGGGTCAAAGAATCAAGAAAAGATCGAGTTCGAATCGGATTAAAACTCTTGCGATAGAGATCAGTTTTTGTGGTTTTTGTTTTTATCATATCTTTTGATCCAGAAATAGGAATAAGATGAATAAGATATCGTTGGAAAGCTCTTGAAGTATACTTTCTAACCCAATTAGAATCAGATTAAAATATTTTGTATAACAAAAGATATAGCCAAAATAGTGAGACGGTGTCAGTTTTGAATAGAGTTTGACATTTTATGCATATCTTTTCCGTTATAGCTCGGAATTGATATTATAATATATCATTAGAAAGATAATTTCAAGGGCTATCCAACCATATAAAATTTGGATAAAAAATATGAGACACAAAAATAATATCTATCTATCTTTGAACGTCTTTCAATTCGGATAGAAATACAATTTTCAAAAAAGGAGTTTTATTCAATTTCAAACTATTTAAACTTATAGAAGCTTCTAATTAATCCTAATTGGTTTAGGAATGGGATTAAATAATTTGGACCCTCCATATGATCATTTGGTCGTAGGTAAGGTGGGCTTAGGTTCGGTTTGGGCTCAGTATAATATTTTGGCCATAACTTATTCATTATAACTCGGATTTGGGCTCAGTTTAGTATTTTGGCCATAACTTATTCGTTATAACTCGGATTTGGGCTTATAATATATCGTTGGAAATCTCTTTTAAAGCTCCATCCAATTATTTAATCATTGGACCAAGATTATGGACCAAAATAAACTGGATTAAACGTTTTTATAAAAAGGACACGAAATGAATGATTTTAAAGGACACGAAATAAATTATTTTGGGTTTAAAGGCACGAAAAGAGGAAAATAAGTTATATTTTGGGAAAATGGGATAGGAATTGGGTTGGTTTATGAAATGGAAATATTGATTTAAGCACTGCAAGATTAAATACTCAACCCGACCAATAATGGCGGTGAAAGGTTGTTCATCATCGGGTTTGGTTTTGGGGAGACATTTTTAGGTGTCTACAGAAGCCCCCACTTTGACTGAGTTTGTAGAAACGACAGTTTTGAAAACGATAGTCAAAGTAGTCAATAGGGACGGAGAATGATTTAAGACGTTCTGCGATCCTAAATCACTATGTATACGCCGATACCTGCAGAAAAATGTTAGTTCTACAGATAAAAGAGTAAGAGGATAGAATGCTTATCTGACACCAGTGTATCGGTGACAAATGAGTTTGGTATCTTCCTATGCTTGAAGGAATCCACCGGATGAAGTTTATTGAAATGCTTTCCATGCTTGAGGAAAGCCGACATATGAGTTTGGTAGCTTTCTAAGCCTGAAGAAACCTACCGGATGACACTTTCCATGCTTGAGGAAAGTCGACATATGATTTTGGCGTTTTTCTATGCTTGAAGAAATACACCGGATAATACTTTCCATGCTTGAGGAAAGTCGACAGATGATGAGATTGCAAGTCTCTGTGTATCGAGAACCTTGCGTCATGAAATGATGGTGATTCGATTGTCCCCGAACGTGGGCTGTAGATGGTTCGCTTGTCCCCGAACGTGGACTTTAGATGGTCCGCTTGTCCCCGGACTTGGGCTGTAGATGGTTCGCTTGTCCCCGAACGTGGGCTGTAGATGGTCCGCTTGTCCCCGGACGTGGGCTGGTTGTAAATGGTCCGCTTGTCCCCGGACGTGGGGTGGTTGTAAATGGTCTGCTTGTCCCCGGACGTGGGCTGGTTGTAAATGGTCCGCTTGTCCCCGGACGTGGGCTGGTTATAAATGGTCCGTTTGCCCCCGGACGTGGGCTGGTTGTAAATGGTCCGCTTGTCCCCGGACGTGGGCTGTAGATGGTCCGCTTGTCCTCGGACGTGGGCTGTAGATGGTCCGCTTGTCCCCGGACGTGGGCTGGTTGTATATGGTCCGCTTGTCCCCGGACGTGGGCTGGTTGTAAATGGTCCGCTTGTCCCCGGACGTGGGCTGGTTGTAAATGGTCCGCTTGTCCCCGGACGTGGGCTGGTTGTAAATGGTCCACTTGTCCCTGGACGTGGGCTGTAGATGGTCCGCTTGTCCCCGGACGTGGGCTGTAGATGGTCCGCTTGTCCCCGGACGTGGGTTGTAATTGAGACCTGCAAAATAAAATTTGCCAAGGGACTCATATAGACTATGATTGACTTGACTAACTGACTTGACCAAGTTTGACTTGACATGACATGACATGTGTATGACTTGTGGTTGTGTGTGTATATGGTGTGTGTGTGTGTGCAAACACAAGCAACAGAAAATGCAAAAACAAAAATTTTCCATCATTTTTGTCATGATACTAGTGGAGGGTACCGACTTTCTCCCGAAAAAGGAAGACGTGAAAAATGAAGCTTTTCAAACTTCCCTCGATTTAAATTTTGAAAAAGTTTTTGAACTTCCCCAAAAGAAAATAATGAAAAAGGGAAGAAGTTTTGAACTTCCTCCTTGAGTAAGACGAAATGAATCGTATGGATTGAATTGCTTGTCTTGAAAATAATTTATGCATGATGCATGTTCTTAGGCCAGGAGGCTAAGGACAATTACATCATGTGACACGATAGATGAAAGAACTTAGGTCATGGAGCTAAGCATCATATATGGTGTAAAGAAACGATCTTGAACGCCACTTAGGTCTGGAAGCTAAGCACGTATATAGATGAAGTGATTATTGCATAATGAAAGTTGCTTAGGTCAAGGAGCTAAGAACGATATGCTTTGTATGATTACAAATCATTGATATATAAATGTTGCTCATCACATTATGCGATGCATGAAACAACGAACATTGCTCAGGTCAGGAAGCTAAGCAAGTATACAATGTTTCTTTTAATGAATATTGTCTTGAAAGATGATGAAGCATGCACAGTGTTGAACAAGATTTCATGATAAGGTCTCTTAAAGGGAAGGATGATTGATATGGATATGGATGTGTGAGTGAAGTGTGTGAATGTGATACTAAGGCTGGCTGCAAGGGTTATGGTGATGGAAAGAGATGTGAGAAGAGTAAAAGATGATGACTTTTTAGGTTGGGTAGGCTAAATGATGTGGGTTCAAGCCCCCAAGTCTAGCTCTAAATGGGTTGGGGTAAGCATTGGATATTCTTTGACTCGATCATGCATGGATATGAATATGAATGTGGCCGCACCTCAATGTGAGGTTGCCTACGTATCCGTTAGGAATCAGGCCGAACGTAGCTCTAACTGAACTTTGCACAAGTGTATGTACACCTCAAAGAGGTCTTTCAAGGGTTGTAATGTGGTTAAGCTGATGGTTTAAGAAAGAAAGGCATAAAAGGCTCAAGACCCAAGAGAAGCCCCCAAGATATGCAATTGTGTATTAGACTTTGCAAGTTTTATTTTTCATATATTTTTTTTGTTTTGAATTTCTTTTTTTTTCTTTTTTCCAATTCCTTTGAATCAATGTAGGCAATCTCAGATCATGCGGTCCATCACTCACTTAGCATTCATGTTTCTCAGGCACGGTACCAAGCACTCGATGAGAGACGCAATTTGAGTCATGTTCATATCGGAGACATTGGAACACTTGCCTTTATACATTTTTTTATTTACTTATTATTTTCTCTCTTTTTTTTTATTTTTTTTTATTTGAACTTGCTTTCTGACTGTTACACAAATTGCACACCTTCCCATCCCAGGGTTAGGTGAATGTGGGTTGAATAAATAAGGTTAATCGTTAGACGAGGCTCAAAGTGTTTGACGAAGAAATGGATATGTGATTAAATGGTTATTAGGGAATGACAGGGTTCCAAAGGTGCCTCAAGTCATT